AATTAAGTTATAATAAAAATTTGAATTAAAAAAATTACACAAAAAAACAAGAACTTTTAAATAGTTAATTTAATAATAATATTGATATATTTATTTTTAAAATTTTATGATATTTTCAAATTTATATTTTATGCAAAAACAAAAACATTATCCTTTTCTCAAAACTGCATAAAAACTGTATTAAAATATCTACAGAGACGGAATAAAACGAAACATTTATCTTGCTGCATTGCACGAGTACCTTCTAGTCGTTTTAAATGATTAAGTCTCTGAATTTTTTTAAATAAATAAATTATCGGACTTCTACAAACTAGTTACCTATATTCTTTAACACAAAAAAGCTACTTGTAAACCGGCTTCAAAAATGTTAAAGTAACAAAAAATCAATTTCATCATGTCCAAATCCCATGTCTTTCAAAACCCCTGTCCCCTTGCACCCAATAGTATTCCTCCCCTCTGCCACCTCATCGTTGTCTGTTCTCCATACCACACATTGCCGCCGTTAATCCCTGCCATCGATCTCCCTCTTTTTTTTTTGTCTTTAAATTCTTCCCATTTTACAACAATTTAGGAGCACTTACAAACAGATGAATAAATATAGAGAATCGAAAGACAAAAAACTGATAATAAAAGAAGAAGACTGATAGTAGAGGCTAACGGCGATGATGAGTTGTGAACTTGTGACAGAGAGAGGACGACTACCTGACGGCTAGAGGTGGTGAGGGATTTGGATGACGAAAGGTTTGGGAACGATACGACTAATTTAAGTTTTTTACTTTGTAACTTTCCTAGCCGATTGCAAATAGTATTTTAGGGTAAAAATGTAGATAACCAATTTCTAAAAGTTAAATGGTTTATTTGCTTAAAACAGATATTTAGAGACTTAATCATTTAAAATAAGAAATTTCAATGGTTTTTTCAATCAAAAAAAGATTCAGAAACTTAATCATTCAAAATAGAAAAATTTCTTAGGTTATATTTTGACTTTTCCCTAATTCACATATTGTATGTTGAATCTTTAACATCTACGAATACGAGTTTGAATTCAAAAAAAGTCAATGGACTTTCCTATTTTGAGTGATTTAGGATCACTTATGAAACGTTTATCAGATAAGTACTTATCAGTAAGAGACATTACTCTTACTTACATTATTGTGTAACATTTTTTGCCATCAAAATAGATTGTTAGTATGCATCTTAAACCCGGTAAGCGCTTACAGTGCAAGGGTCTTTTCCCTCACTTACCGGGTAAAAGTTTTTTCTTTCACTTACCGAGTATAACTTTTTTGGTCCTTGATATGTCTCTTACCGGGTAAGATTATCAGTCATTGTCATACTCAATCGATAAGGTAAGTGACATCGACAAGCGCTTACCCAGTAAACGACCCCTAAATTTGAATATTTATGACGAATATTAAAGTTCATTTATTATAATCAACGACACATGTTTTGAAACAATCAAGATATTCATTAAATTAGATATTTATTAAACTAGATCAACGGTTGAGATTAGTTTGTATATGAAACCCACTCTTTATTCATAATATATAAATATATTTTTATATATCAATAAACATGCACAAACGTGACCGTCGTCGTTCATTTAACAAAGGGGAAAAAATGCATTCATGTTCGTTGTTTTATTAAATAAATGAACTTTCATCGAACGGTTTAGTGAACATTCGATTTGTTTATAGCTTTATATATACTTACAAAACCGAAAACGATACACTCGTAAAATCGAAACCGAAATCGACATACCGAAAAGAAACCCAATGTAGGTTGCAAAATAGAAACTAAATTAAAAACTAAGTTGCAAGACAAAGAAAAAGATTAAAAAGAATGAAGAAAAGTAAATGGTGATGAGAGAGTTGCAGAGGCCTCCGACGTTTCTGTGCTATTGCTCCCCGCCGCCACACCTCTCTTCTCCGATGACTCTCATCACCATTCTCCCTCCAGAACGCCACCGATATCGAAACAGAGAGTTGCAAAATCAAACACTGAAATCGGAACAAAAATCGATAATAAATAAAAACGAACATGCCGTCGACTGGTGGTCGGAGATGGAAGCGACAGCGGCAGCTAGTGGCTATGGCGACGATCGGGGCCGACGGCAAACAGGATTGGGAGGGGGACGAAGGTGTGGGAGGAGTTAGGGTTTTGTAATTAGTTTAGGTTTTTTCTTTTCTTTTTTAATCTCAAAATTTACCATGGTTATCCGTCATTTCGTAGAGAGTGAATTATATTTTTGGTCCCTGATCTATCGATTATTTATGGTTTTAGTCCCTACAATTCTTAAAAGTATATTGATGATCCATTTATGTGTTTAGTTATATCGTAGTCTAAAGTAGTCCCTCTTCCTAACACCGTTAGAGGAGACTTTGTTAACTCTATCATATGCCCCTCAGGTGAAGAACAAATCTATCAATTTTCCGTTATTTTTCTA